TACCATTAGATCAGGATGAGAGAGAATGATGGCCCAAATATTACATTCAAGACACATGAGGGATACTAAGAATTCTTGGTGATACCGTTTGGCCTCACCAACACTCTTGCTATATTCTATTCTCTCATGAATAGGGTATTCTGACCATAACTTAGGAGATTTGTACTAATTTTCTTTGATGATATCATAGTGTACTGCAAGTATGAAGAAGAGCATTTGAAGTACTTGAAGGTGGTATTAGAGGTATTACAAGAGTATTAGTTGATGGCCAACCTGAAGAAGTGTTTCTTTGCATAGCCCAATGTGGATAATATGGGGCATGTGATATCTCATGAGGGGGTGGCCGCTGATTAGGCTAAGATTGAGGTAACACTTAAATGTCAGCTACTTAAAATTTTGAAGGAGCTAAGGGATAATTTCCTAGGATTGGCATGGTACTATAGAAGCTTTGTGAGGGGATACAATACTAAAGCATGACCACCATTGATCGAGCAGCTGAAGAATGATAGCTTCTTATGGGTAATAGCAGTTATTTATGTCTTTAAGAGATTAAAGAATGCCATGACCACAATATTGCTCCTAGCCCTACTAGATTTTAGCTAGATTTTTGTGATAGAGATTGATGTATCAGGGTATGGATTGGGGGCAGTGCTCATGCATAATCATAAGACTATAACTTACTTCAACCAGGTGTTGACAACCATAGCTATGTTAAAGTTAATATATTATAGGGAGTTGATGGCCATAACATTATATATTTAAAACTAATAGTCTTACTTGCTGGGCTGACATTTCATCGTTATCATAGACCATAGGAGCTTGAAGTACCTATTATAACATAGATGGTGACCGAGGAGCATCAGAGGTGGTTTTCAAAACTATTGGGATATGATTTCAAGATCCAGTATAGGCCAGTGTTAGAGAACAAGGCGGCTGATGCCTTATCCAGATGCGAGGGGGAGCTCCAGAAGTTATCCATTTTGGTACTAATGATGTTGGATTGGGGGGCTATTAAGGAGGACAGTGTAATAACCCATATTTTAACCGAGTCAAATAACTTTTTTAAGGAGTCATCATAAGTTCATATCATAAACCATCCTCATCATAATATAAATATTGTAGTGATTTAATTACACTAATTTTTTCATAATTTTTGGACACTGATACAAATCCTTAAGAAATTGAGACATGTTGGTACAAACATGAATTTTGGGTCAGATGTTCGTTATGCAAACCAATTTTATTAATTTTTTTTTAAATAAAATGTGCTATTTTATAAATATTTTTCTATAATTTTTGACACTCCAAACTAATCCATTAAATCCCTTTCTCTTTTATGAAATCGTCTAAAAGAGAAATTGAGCAATGTAAAAAGGAAAAATAAGAGAGAAAAGGTAGGATAGTAAAATAAATAAACTTAGGTTTTGGAGGCAGTATAGTGATTTTCATCAGTCAATTATGATGAGGGATTTGCTCGTTTCATTGTAAGGAATCACTATCTTATTTTTTATTTCAATAATTTGATATTTAAAAAAAAATTATCAAATTTGTATTTCCATTGTCAAAAAATAAGGATAATTTTGTATTTTAAAAAACAATGATTCTTGTACATTCAAAAATTTATTTTGACATTTAAAATAGTTCTTTAATTCCTTTAAAGCTTCATAATATTGTTATATATGATCCATAGTAATTTGATTAGTTTCTGAAAATATGATTTTTTTTTTTTTGCTAAGTAGGATTTTATGTTGCCTACAATTAGGACATTTTGGTATTGTCTAAATTAAGCCCAATTATGCTTTATTTAATGCAATGCATTGAAAATAAATTTGTGTATGTGGTTATCAGATAGTTTAATACAAGCCGAATAAGTTCAAATTCAGCTGAGCCTAAACCACCCGGTTTTGTAAAATTGACGACAGTTTGCCGATTCAATTGCTGGTTCGAGCGATTTTCGAGTGGTTCAATGCTATTCCAATTTTATACACAGTTAGAACCACCCGATTTCCGATTCAACCGGTAAATTTATAATTTCTATATGTTATATTTAATAATATTTTAAATATTAAATTTAATTATATTAAATTTCTGAATATTATATTAAATTATAATTTATATAGAAAACACGAATTATCAATTGATTTTCTAAGAAAATCAAATTCTAATTTACGTTATATCTAATGAAAATTAGAAATAAAATTGATTTTATAAGAAAATCAAATTCAAGATTTTGAAGAGAGAGAAGCTCCACAAAAAGAGGAAGGATTTTGAAGAAGATTTCGGCTGCTTTCATTGAAGATGGATGGAGGTGGCCGGTCATCCATGGATGACCGGAACACCATCTCCTATAGATCTACCGCGCGTCCAACTATGTTGCATTCAAAAGGTAGATTTCCATTCAATCATAGTTTCCCTCGCAATTCTTGTTTTTGGAACTCTCATCTGGTGATTAAAGAAGGAGGGTTGATATCTAAGCAAAAGCATTTGCCATATATTGGAAAAGGAAAAGATGTCATTAATGTTTTGAAGAGTATGTCAATTTCACCCATGAAGGTTTTTTTCCCTAAAGCAAATGATTTGGAGGCTTCTTCATTAGGTTGCAAAGATTTTAATCTGTTGAAGAATAATAAAGAGATTGATAATACCATCCTCGATGAGAGTAATATCAAAAATCCAGCATCTTCACCTGGATCTGATAATTCTAATGTGTGGGTTAGAAAACCACATATTAAAATTAATTTGAAGGAAGTTCATCATGAAAATGGAAATGAAAATGTGGTCAAACTTGACTTGGAAAATGAAAAAGCCAATGTTTAAGTGTTGAGGAATTCGTTGGTTGTGAAGATCCTTTGTAAAAAATTACCTTTTTCAAATTGTGCTAATGAATTAAGGAGGCAATGGGGTAAATATGGAGGATTTCATATAACCTCACTTGGATTAGATTGGTTTCTGTGCTCATTCCAGTCACAAGAAGCTATGGAAGAAGTTCTTAATGGAGGTCCTTGGTATGTGGGAGGATTCATCATTGGTTTTTACAGATGGTCACCCAACTTCTCTCCTAATTCTTTGGATGGGATCTCTTCTCCTATTTGGGTTCGTCTTCCTTAATTACCTTTACATTGCTGGGACGAAACCAATATTACTAGAATTGTTTCTAGAATAGGGACTCCTCTATTATTGGATGGCAATATGTTTAGGTGGGGGATAAGGGAATTCGCTAGAGCTTGCATTCGAGTTAAACTGAATTCTAAACTCCCTTGTGGTACATGGGTTGAAGGTCTTCATGATAAATTTTTTCAAAAATTTGATATGAAAATCTATCGTCCCTTTGTTTCTATTGCGGGAAAATTGGCCATAATGATTATGATTGTCCAAATGCTTCTCTTAAGAAGAATCCTCTTGTTAAAGATATCCCTTCAAATTCAGTTCATATTGCTGATAATTCATATGGTCCTTTGATGCCTGTGAAGTTCAAAAAGAAAAAGAGGAATAATTTTATGGATAATCTTATTCTAGTTAATTCTGCTAAATCTGATCAGAATTTTTTCAAAGTTGCTGATAATTTGGATAATAAAGAGGAAGCTGTTAATGCTATATCAAAATTGAGTGCTGGTCCATTGGAAATTCAGAATTCAAAATTTGAATTCAATCCTACTCAATTGCTGGATATTATAGATAATGCAATTTTTTCAGAACCTATTCCTGCTGATAATCCCGTGAACTCTCCTGAAATTTCTATACCAAAGACAGCTCAGGATTTATATCAGACTGAAGAAGCGGAGGCCGTTAATCCTATATCAGAGTTTGTTTCTGAAATTGCTTTATCTACTTTGGCTATTGAGGTAAATCTGGAATCAGATAATGGTTTTAAAATTCTGCCAGCTCTATTCAGCAAATTCAAAATTCAAAATCTGAATTTGAAAATGCTAATATTGTGGAGGCAGTTTTGGAAGCCGATAATAGTGAAACCATTGCTGAATCATTGGGAGCTGTTTGTACTCCCATTATGGCTGCCAATTCGATGGGAGCTAATGAATTAGAATTTGAAAACTTAAATTCCGATATTCATGAATTAGTTAACGCTGGGGCTAATGAACCAGATTCATACAAAAGCGATCATAAGGAAAATACTGAAACCGTTACACCATCTTCAGAAGTAAATCTTAATTTTAAAAAGACAGCAATAGTAAAAGGAAATACAAGGAGTATTAAATCAGAACTTTCTTCAAGTTCTACACTTAAACTTTTTAAAGAGCTTTAATCCTTGGGACCGGTGGAAAGCTTTCCAAGAAGGAGAATGGCTGATCTTAGTTCTAAAAATTTGTAAGGGTCTCTTCCCCTTTAGTTCCTTAATGTATTCCTACTACTACATGGTTATCTACAGCATGAAGATTCTTGGAGGTTACTTGATGAGGGAACTGATGTATAAAGAGTATCTCAGATTATTGTCTGCGGATTATGGACTCAGGATTTGGAAGAAGATTCAGGGATATCTTCTAGTTCTTATTGACGATTATCAACTTTTGTTGACTCTTTGTTATCTTAGTTCTTTTCTTAGTTTCCTTTCCTTTCTTTTAGCTTTATATTTGTTTTCTATAGTTACTTTAATTGTTTATGAGCTTTATACTAGTTCTTATTTTTTAACCGATTGGAAACTTTGGGATACTAATCAATTTTTTAGGTTGTTTTATTTAATTGGTATCCCCTCCACCCCAAGGGTTTTTAAATGGGAAATAGTAGGGTCTTATTTCAATTATGATAATTCTAGTTTAACAAATATGGTTTCAATAAAGTTTCTTTCCATGTTGGAAATAGAAACCATTTGCTTTTTCTTTATGTTCTAGTTTGTAATTAGTTCTTTTAATTTTTAATGCAATTTTGCATTCTCTAAAAAAAAAAAAAATCAAATTCTGAATTGCCTTTTCTTGATAAAATCGTATTTTTTTAAAGATATTTATCCACTTTAAATTTAATTTTAAAAACGTTTTCTTTTAGAGCGGTGGTGATCTCCTTAACATTTTGCCAAAGATAGGGCAGACAGCGCAGCGAAATGGAGGCCTTCTACTTGCTCTGCTCTATTGCTTCCACATTCGTCTCCTCCACCGCCCTCTCCTTCCTCCTCGCTATCCGATCCTTCTCCCGCTTTCTCTCTCCTATTCTTGCCAACGAATGCTGCGACCGCGCCGCTGTGCGACTCTATCAGGGCCGTGTCCGCCATTCGCGGACAAAGCCTGTTTTCAATTCCTTCGAGTATCCAGTTCGCTATGCGCTCTTTGACCTGGACCGTGCTCAGCATGACTCGCATTTTTCCGCTGATCGAGCTCGGGAGGCTGCGGGGACCGATGGACCAGTGTAATTCAACGACCTATTGATCCAATTATGTTTCTACTGGAGGAAATCCTATTAAAACTGATATTTTTAGGTTTCTTCTCACAATTCCGACAAGCGTGGGGTACGATCAGAATCCCCTGAAGGTGTATTATTGCTATGATTTGGGAGAGGAAGGGGAGGAGGAGGAAAGATGGTCTTTACCTCGTTTAAAGAATTGCATTGCCGAGGTGGGTACTTCATTGTAGGTTGTTTTTTTTATTGAAATGGACAGAGTTTTCCCTAGCGTTGACTGCTGGCGGATGTTTGGACTTCAGGTAACAAATACGCCTTGGGGGGAGAAAGTATTTTTTGAGTTTGCCCCGGGATCGGATATGGTTGCTAAGCCATTGCATGTTAGCCCGTTTATGGTAAGGAATTTTTTAGAAGTTACAGTTTATATTGTAATGGAATTTCAAATGATAACAACAATTAATGCTTGTTCTTCAATGTAGAGCTCCAAAATTAATTATTGTTCTCAAAGCTTGTGTTTGCTTAGTTAAGGGAGTATTTCACTATTTCTGGCTGAAAATTTCATCTTCATCACCACTGTGTCATGGAATTTTGAGCACACTACCAATGCTGGGAGAAATATTATGTTAGGATGGTGAGTTGAGTTTTTGTGTTCTGACTACAAGATTGGTCTCCTTGTGTCAAAATTCTCTCTCCAGCTAACAATAGGATATGGCTTCTTTGCTTTTAAAAAGGGTGTCCTGATGTTGCTTCCTTTTTTAAATTAAAAGTCAACGCAATTTCTTCCTATTTTTCCCCTTCTTCATTGGTGTTAAAACAGTTTTAGGGAATTGCTTGGGAAGTCTTTTCAAGACCCAACATCATCAAGATAAGCAGTTTTATTCTATCTATTCGTAGTTTCCTTCTTGAATTAATCTTCTTTGAAGTAACATTATGGCTAATGGTGATCTTCATTGCCAACTTACTATTCATGGAACATCCTATGTTTTACAGGTTTGCTTATAGAAAATCAAAAGGTTGTATTTATTGGTGGCCTGTTTGATTGGGCTTAAGTTAAACTAAGATATGCTAACCAAGTGGTGATAGGTTCTTGATGGCGCACTATAGTCTACTGTTTACTAAAACAAATTTGGGATGAGATGCGCAAATAAACACAAAGCATCACGATTTTGGATTCAATTTAAGTAATGATTAGTCACTTTTGATGCAAAGTAAAAAATCCCATTTTTTTGCTCCAAAATGGTAATTGTATAGTTTCCAAAATCAGAATTCCATAAGAAATCTACGATCCCACCAACAACATCAAGCATTTATCCCACTATGTGTGGTCGGATACATGAATCATTTTTTCTCCATTGTGTTTTGTTAAGAGTCAAATTCTCATTTAAATATAATAAAAAAATATTATTTCTAATATTTTATAACCAAGTCTTTTTAAATTTTCCAAACTCTGTCTCTCTTAACATAGGCCAATTCTAATACATTTACTCTCCTAACCGGGTCATCAAAAGACCGTCGTTTTATGTGACCAAATCATCTAAGGTGACTTTCTCTAATCTTATTGTCACTGGAGCTACTCCAACATTTTCACATATATGCTCGTTCTGCATTCTATATCTAAAACTAAAAGTAAAGCCACTCATGCATCTGAGTATCATCATCTCTGTAACACTTAACTTAATTGTATGCTTCTCTTTTAACGACCAATATTTTGTGCCATAAAACTTTGCATGTCTTACCCGCCATCTTATAGAATTTTCCCTTATGCTTTAGGTGTACTTTTCTATCACACAGTAGGCTCGATGCATTCCTCCATTTCAACCATCCAATTTTAGTTCTACTAATAATATCCCTTATATTTCATCATCACTATGGACAATAGACCCGACACATCTAAAACATGTACTCTTATTAATGACTTGATCGCCCCAAGTCGCAATCCCCCCCAATTAGATATATTAAGACTAAAATTACACTAAATGTATTCAGTTTTATATATACTCAAACGAAAACCTTTAGACTCTAAAGTTAATCTCTTTTGGAATATCATTAGGTCCAATAACTTTTTTACACTTCATTTTCTTTAAAGTCCTTTAACTTTGGTTTTACTAATATGTTAATAAAAGTAAAAATCTCAATTTTCATTTAAGGTGATGCAAAGGTCACTAAAGTCAATCGTAATTTCACAATCTTTATTGAAAAATTTATCAAAATATCTCATCTACCTTTGTTGAGTATTCCCTTCTAATAAAAGCATTTTTTTTTATTTTCATCCTTGATGCACTTCACTTGAACTAAATCTTTCTCCTATCTCTTTGCTTGGCTAACTTATACATATATATTTCGTCTTCCTTAGTATATAATATATTATATAAATCATTAAAATTCAACAACAATATTAAATATAATTTTCTTTGAAGGAACATTAATAGCTAATGGTGATCTTTTTACCAGTTACTATTCATGGAGCTTCCTATGTTTGACAAACAGGGCGTAAGTTAGGCTAAGTCAAGTTATGCTACGAAGTGTTGATAGGTGATGCAGGGTGATAGTCTAGCAGTTAGACAAATTTGGGATGAGATGTACAAAGAAACACAAAAAGTATCACAATTTCTGTATTCAATGTCACTAAACATTAGTCACTTTTGATGCCAAAAAGAAACACATTATTCGCTCCAAAATGATCATGTATATAGTTGCCAAAATCATAATTTCATAAGAAATTTGAGATTACACCATAAAGAAAAAAATCAATATGCATCAACTTCCCAAAATCTTAAGTATCCGCCAATTACTAACCAGTTTTGAAGAAATAATAAAGAGATCATAAATTGGAATATTTAGATCTCATACTGGTATAAGGAGAGTTATGCCTCAAGTGCAAAGTGCTGGGAGAATCTACGTCTAACAACACACAATAATTGAGAGAAAATTTTGAATTTTAAAATTTCTATTTTCATGTATAGTTTCACAAAAGTTTCATTGAAACTAGTTTGGTCTTTCAAGAGAAGCTTTACTATATTCTTATTTTCCTTCTTAAATTAATCTTCTTTGAAGTCAAATTAATGGCTAATGGTGATCTTCTGCTAGCTACTATTCATGGAACATCCTACGTTTGACTTGTTTGTTAATAAAAAATCTAAAGGACAGTTTGGCTTAAGTTCACCTAAGATATGCTAACCAAGTGGTGATAGGTGATGTAGGGTGTCCTATGTTCTAGTTTTTACTAAAGCAAACTTGTGATGAGATGCACAAAGAAAGGCAACCAGTATCACAATTTATAGATTCAATTTTAAGTAAAGTTTTTTCACATTTTGTGCAAAAAAAAAAAAAACTTTATTCACTCCAAAATGATAATATATAGTTGCTAAAATCATACTTATGTAAGAAATCTGCGATTAAACCATAGTGATCTCGAGACTAATAATTTATTTATTCATATCGTTGCATCTAATCTATATGATCAAATGTCTTTATTTTTACTCATCTTTACCATTCAGCTTGCAAGGTCTCCCATTTACCTTCTCGTTTCTTTTAGTTTGGCTTGAAAAAAAATTTTTTTATTTGCAGGACATGATAGGAAATTGGAAAATCCATGCTTCTGAACCAGGAGATAACATTTTTATATCTATTTCAGTTCAGCACCCCACTCTTGGAAATTACTTCATTGCTACGCTGAGTGCTAAAAGAGTTCATTCATCAACTACTTCGCTTAACATGGAAAAGTATTTCTGGTTGATGCCACATAAGGTTGCAGCGTTGATATATTGGCAGGTAACTAGGGATGATAATCTTTTTGTTCGTTCTTGTAATATTCTCCTTAAGAACTTATTAGCCATCTCTAGCATTCTAGTTGACGATGAGTAGGGGCAGCCCGAATGAACATGTGGTTGATCTGTTTAGTCCTTTTGATTGCATAGAAGAAAAGAATATAATATCGATCAAGAGCCATGGAGGTAAAGAGAGGAAGAATGTAGATAGAAACCCTACAGGATAGAATAAATCTTTAACGAGGGTGCCAAAAGAAAGACTTTCTTTCCTCTATCTTCAACTAGTTGAATTACACAATGCTGGATGCTACTTGTAGAAATATGCCTTATTGAAAATGATAAATTTATATCTAAATAAATAAAAAATGCTAAATTAGTCTTAAATAATAAATAATATTTAAATCGCTAATAAATAATAATTAACTTAAAAATAAATAATGGAATTTCATGATAACTTAAATTAGATTGAAAAAACATACTCATGACTAAGGCCTCGTTTGTTTGGGCGTTTTTTTTACTTTTCTGTTAAGAAACGAGAAAATTATTATTTTTTTCATTGTTCGTATGCGATGCGTCTATTTGTTTCTAAAACTACCTTTTACAAAAGCAAAGAAAGAACCAAACGAAGCCTAAATAAGTTAAACTTGCAATCAATGGTGAAGCAAGGGATTTTTTTTTTAAATTTGGGCATATAAATTAATTGTATTATTTGGGGGGAATAAAAATTAAATTTTTATTATTAAAAATATCAAATAAAAAAATTTTTGGATTCTTAACTTCTTGAACTCAGCCATGTATCTCATCAAGGGCAATATGAACTCCAGAGCTGCTAGTCATAACAGTCTGAATAGTTGGCTCATTATGGCACACTGTGTATATTTTTTGGATAATAGCATAAGTTTGACACTTAGGCACTGCTTCTTAAAGCAGCTTTCTATTATAAAAATTTTAATTTTTATACAACAACAACAACAACATCAAGCCTTTGTCCCACTACATGGGGTCGGCTACATGAATCCTTTTTCGTCATTATATTCTGTTAAAAGTCAAATTCTCATTTAAATCTAATAAGAAAGATCATTTCTAATACTTTCTAACCAAGTCTTTTTAAGTCTACCTCTATCTTTCTTAATACTGCTTTTGCCAGGTCCCAAGTCATTGATGAGAAAAGTGAAGGGTTGTGTTAGGCAGTCAACGGCCAGCATAAAACTTGTGGAATAATTATGACATAATTTTTGTACTAAAAAGTAAAAAATTGTTTTAAGAAGTAGCAAAAAACTGTCTCAAATAAAGTCTGACTAAAAATTAAGGACTTTCAGCTACCTCCTTGAATTGAAACTTCTGGCATATCTTTTTGAACTTCAAGTTGACCTTGTTCAGGCTGTCAAGCTTTGGTGGAAAAATGTCCCTTTTATTGGTCACCCAAAGTACTCAAATCCATCCTACAGAGACGATGCTTCGTCGAGGTGCAATGAAATTTGCCCTTTGCGCATAAACAGACGACAGAGCAATAAGCTGAATCAAAATAGCAATGGTGAAAGCAGAACCAGGTGGTGTATTTGGAGAGATGCTGAATGGCCATGGGCGTGATTATTGTTTTGCAACTCATCCAAGTTAAATGGATGAATTGCCTTGATGCAGGATCTGTTCTATATTTTGAAGCCTGTTGCCAAGCAGGTTTGTTGATCTTTACAGTTAGTTGTTTCAGCTGTCTTTTTTTTTTTTTCAAGCTGCTTGATTGATTGAATGCTGAAATTGTACTATGTAAGTTATGCATTATGCTTGTTAGAGCATTAATTCGAATTTTCCATGTTTTTGACGTGAATAAAAAAGATGATCAGCCTCCTTCATTGTATAAATTATTGGCTTAAGTACCTATTTAGGCTTCGTTTGGGATGATTTTTTATTGCTTCTTAAAGCAGCTTTTTTGTAAAAAAAAATATTAATTTTTGTACTATAAAGCTACTTTAAGAAACAATAAGAAAATCGTTCCAAATGAAGCCTTAGTTGTAGTTGAATACCTGTTTTAATTAGGCCCTATTTGATTTGATGAAAATTGAGTATGAAATATTTCAAATGCAAGAGTTTTTAAAATTTTGTTGTTTGATTTGATGAAAAAAAAGAAGTTGAGTAAAAGTTTGGTGGCTATTAAATTCATTCTATAGTTTGTTTTTGTGCATTGAAAACTTAGCCGTTTTTTGTTGATTCTAAATACATCGCAAGCTAACTCTGTTATTGTTGTTGGTGTTAGGGAATGTGCTCTAAAGAAATATTATTGTAATATATTTTTTATGAAAATAAATATTTAAAGACAAGTTTAGCATGTTTTGATATTATCATTTGATATAATTTTTTTATTCTATGATTATTTGTGTAACTATAATTCAGTATATAATTATATACAAGAGGATTGAGTTATGGATCATAATTTAAATAAAATTATAATTATTAATTATAGTTGTAATCTATAATTAAATATTATTAGTACGATCTATCAACATTAATAATGGAATAATCTTATTTGAATTATTCGGTATGGAGATATTAAGGATAGATGTACTTTATATAATATGATTATATAGAATTGGACCAGATAAATTTTTAAATTCTCTAATAAAATTATTTTAATTATAGAGAATTTAAAATTAATAATAAAGATAATCATATATAAAATAATCTTAATCCTGAGTTATTAATAAATTCTTATTTGTGACATTTGATTATTTTACTTACGCGAAAATAGTTTAGAAGAAATAAACTTAATCCTTCTATCTCAGAAATATAATGAAACAAATTGCTATGAATGTTAATATACATATATAAAATTCATTCCTTTCATTTTTGAAAGTTATAAAATTAGTTCCCTTTATTAATTAATTCATAATTTGAATCATTGAATGCTCAAATTTTGTGATGAGGTCACAAAATTTATTGTTCATTAGAGAATTAATATGAATTTAATGATCAAGATATAGTTAGTGAGGTGAAATAATTATTTAGCTCTAATTATGAACTATTTATGGATGATTATTTTATATGTGATGATTAAATCAGTGGACAATTCAATTTTTTTAAATTGAGTAATTTATACTATAAATTTAAGAGTTCAATTTCATATTTATAGTGAAATAGTATTAAAATTAATAATTTTAATTTATTAATTTAAGTGTTAAAATAATAATTAAATTTATTGGAGCTTGAATTATAGGTCCATAAGTCCCTTATTAATCATCTAATCATTATTATATATTAATTGAACATTATCGTTAAGAATGTGGCATAATATAAATATTAAATTATGTTTACATTAGTAACGCCTTTATGATCACCTTTTATTTTTATTATATAAAATTTCATGAAAATGATGATGACTTATCATAAATATATTTTAATATTAAAAGATAAAGAAAATGATGTGTCATTAAAAATAAGGTTATTGATGTGTCATGATAATTATCATTTTAATATTGATTAAAAATGCTTTATGAATTACAAAGGTGTGCTTATGAAAAGATGTTTTCAAAATTGAAAAGATGTAAACTTTTCATATAAAAGAAAATAAAGTTCTACATGAAATGAAGATGATTTATTCATGAGAGATTGAAGATGATATATAAGAAAATGATTAGTCTCTTAGACTTTTCCTTTTGAAGGATTAAATTGTGTTGAAAACACAAATTACATTCAAAAGAAAGAATGTTCATAAATAATTGATTGATTGTGGCAACTCACTAAAATATTTTGGTGATGTGATTAGAAGAAGAAGACTTACAGTCTCAATCAACATTTCGACGAATAAGGTTTACGAACTCAATGAACTTTTCGGTAAGCTTTCTTCATTTTATATTTTAAAATTATTATTTATTAAGAAAATAAAAATGGAGAAAGTCTCAATTTAATTTTCTAAAATCTTGATTTTCATTTCCGCTATTATATATGGATAAAAATATCCAACAGTTGGTTGCCCATCGCTACCACCAGCCAACTCTGCCTACCATTAATTGCCTTTTGCACCAATTGTAGCCGCATTTTTTCATCGTGATCGCTGGTCATCATCAAATTTTATAATGTATTTAATTATACTTCAAATCAAACAAAAAAATAATCATCAATATCTATTTTATACTTATCCAAATAAGTTTAAATATATTATTTTTCTTAACATTGTATTTTTTTCAACAAATTAAATCACCTTTGGTATAATAAATAAATAAACAGAAATATTGTGGAACCGCTTGAAGACGCCGGAACTCTGCCGGATTTTCAGGAAACTCAGGGAATTCGCAGGATTTTGTGAATTTCGTGGAAAAGACAAGTTGTATTTGGATTATCCCGACTTGTGGGAAGAAATCCGCCATTTGTAATCTACGAAAACACTAGTGGAAATTTGCAACTGGGCGAGGCCCCGTGGTTTTTCCCATTTTTGGGTTTTCCACGTAAAAACTCTTGGTGTTCATTCCTTTTTCCTGTTTGTGTGTTAAACTTACGTACAACGCTCAGACGCGAATTTACAAACTCTACCGCCGCGTATTTTCTAACACGCAACAATGTTATATTTATTTTAAAATAAATATGATGATTGATGAATATGAAAGTTCTTATGATAAAATATAGTTTTAATGATTTTATATGATTTATAATTAATTATTTATTTTAAAAATTGAAATATTTGAATGCAGTTGTAAATAGTTTATGATAAGTCATTTTTTAGAATTAATATAGAACTGTAATAATAAAATTTAGTATAAAGTTGTTTGTGGTAGTTTAATCCCTCTCATGAACTTGATTTGTTATCACATGAACTTCAATGGCTAAGAGATTTTTTTTTTTTTTCATTAAACAATTACAAACTTCAAAATTCTATGAAAATTTAAACCCTAAATTATTAAGGCTTTATTTGGGACAATTTTGTTGTTGTTTTATGAATCAATTTTTTAGAATAAAAATTTTTAAACTAGAAAGTTGCTTCATAAAACTGTAAGAAAGTTATCATTAAAGAAAATCTAAATCTTAAATTTTACATTCTAAATTCTAATATCTAAATTTTATATCTTCAACTATAATTTCAAACGCTAAAGTCTAATCCTAAACTCTAAATCATCATTCAATCATCTCTACTTTGACTCTTAGGTTTCGTTTGGGAGGGCTTTCTTACTGCTTCTTAAAACAATTTTTAATACAAATTAGAAAATTATTTTAAGAAGCAGTAAAAAATCTTCCTAAATGAAACTTTAATTTGTTCATGGTGAACTTATCTTTGTGGGATTTGGTTTTTTTTTTTTTTTTGTTACTTTTGTTTATTTGGAGATTGAAACATTAGCAAGAAGGAACCCTTGGGCCTCTCTCAAGAATCTAGCTTCATCCATGCACTAACTCGCATTGGCTTATCCTTAATCATTTTAATTGCGTTCTCTACAGTCATGAGAAAGCAGGAATAAACTCTATTCCTTGCAATCGGAACAATGGCTTAAGGGATTGTATTTTTGTCATGGGCATGGCTGATCTTCCTAATTTTGTCTTATTTTATACATGGTCTAATAACTAATTAGATAAGCATATTCATTAGAAGATTGATAAAGCTTTACACAATAGCTAGCTCTTGGCTAAACCTATTTTCATCTTCCTTTTTCATGGTCATTTCTCCTATGTCATTGAATCACTCTTACTTGCTCATTCAGTTGGGAAATTTTAAGCAAGTTCACTATAGATTCATCTTCAAAAGATTTTGGACTAGATTTTTTCTCTCAATTTTGAAATAAATAGTGTTTAGACCAGTTTCTCCATAGGGAACTCATCTTTACACTATATAAGAAACTTAAAGCTCTCAAATTCTCCTTGGGGGTGTAAGGTTGGGGGTTTATCATTGCTCTCATTCAACCACTTTCTTCTTTGAGCCAGAGAATATATATCTTCAACTTGTTAAAAAATGATCCTCATAAACTCATCCTTATTGTTGAAGCCAAATCTATTCATGATCATGATATTTAAATTTCCACTATTGAGAGTTTGTGGATTAAACAGAGAGCTAAAATGGGTTTTTAGCCTAGAGTGATGACAATCTAAAAATTGTTTTATGCTTCTATTAAAAAGAGGAGAAATGATAGCCTTACCAGGGAAGTAAAAATTAAATAAGGTGTGATCACTTGAGCTTTTGTCTAGGTAAGTTATCCTCATATAAACATCAGCCCTTATTAGTCCTCCTAATGGACCCTATCAACCAACTCACATGTCCTTGCCTAGGTGAATCACCATCACATGTACTTTGTCTATTAAGCATATCATATTTTCTTAGGTTGCTCTTTTATCGTACTTCACATGGATCATATGCCATGTGAATATCTTTCTACCTTTATGGATGATTTCTAAATAGGTATTTTCCACCCCTCCTTAGCGACCCCTACTTTTTAAAGAGATCTTTCTATCTTCATAGATAATGTCTACTTTAATCTTGTTCGTTCTTTAATGGACATCTATCCACTTGGAATGTTTTTTCTTCATGAATAATATTTGCTTGGACTATATGGATTTTTCCTTTATGGACTCCTCTTCATTAGAAACCTTTCCATCCTTGTAGATAAGGTTTGTTGAAACTATATCCATCCATTGGAAACCTCCTTACTTGGGCAAGTCATTATTGTCCAAGAAAACCTTATTCATTAAATTTCTTGCATGTTTAAGTATTTGAATTATTTTAGAACATTTCTCTTAATCATAGAGATTTTTTTCTATGTGTTTAAGTGCAGGTTGTATTGTTAGTGAAGTTTCCCCATTCACTCAATCAATTTACATTTCATGTTGATTAAGATGTATTTGCATTAGTATTTCATAAATTAACATGTAAATTGGCTAATGAGCTTAA